CTATATTGCAATAAATATGACATGTTCAAGTCATATTTAAAGAGTAGGGACTTTGATTACATCAAATTTTATCTACTGTTTGAAAAAAAAAATAAAAAACAATAAAAACTTACATTAAATATGCAAAAAAGTATGATATCAGGATCAGCACTGGTATCACTATAGGAATTGGCTTTCAGCTTTATTGTTATTTTCGACAATGGACATCAGTATTGGCTGAATATTCAAAATCTGTTTGAAGCAAATCATCTATCCATACTGTACCCACATATATAAGCTATTTCATTTCTCTGATGAAAGCATTTAAAGAATAAAAGCAGAGAAAAGGGGGGAGGGGGGCCGTCTGTGTGCATCACAGGACTGTAAGCACATACAATAACTATCACAGAGCACAGCCAAAAGCCCTTAGCTTTGTGACAGAGCAGATGTTAAGAGTAATGACAGTGGAGATTACCCAATAATTGTAGCAGTGTAAATCATTTCACAGAGGGAGGAGAAAAAGAAGGGGAGAGAAGGAGGAGGGATGAAACAAAGAAGGGGGGATGCAGAGAACACCTTATTGTCGGTATGTAAATGTAAAAGAGGACAATTTATATCGGACACTTTTTCTAAATGTTTATAGGCAGACAGCTCATCTGTAGCAGCATAAAAGAGGGCAGAAGCTTCCAGAAAAGAGTCCCTGCCATGTTTTTGTGTTGATGGTGGTGGAGGGGATAATGGCGATTATGACAATGTGGCTGCTAGTGTTATTGTCTGTGTTTGGGAGCTAATCGCTGCCATGCAAGCTGCTGCCTGAGGCCAAGGAGAGAGGATAGAGGATGGAGGATAGAGGATGGAGGATAGAAGGGGCCCTCTCCATCTCAGAGTACGATGACACAATTCTCCCTCACATCCTATAACAGACATTGTCCTCCCACGACCCCCAGCATCAGGCCTTCAGCAGCATCCTGTCTCCCCCCTCAAAGCCACCGTTCAGTAAAGACCACATGGGTCAACAGATCAGGGGCCCTGACACCTGCTCCAACATCCAGGGTGCTGTGTATGTGTGTGTAACTGTGTGTTTGTGGGTCTCTCTCACTCACACTCACACTCTCTCTCTCTCTCTAGCTCTGTTGTCGCACTCATTGTGTAATAAACTTTATTCAGTTAACCGTGAATTATTGTTAATTGAACTAAAAAGTAATTTTCTTAATTGAAACAGAGGGGGGAGGGGCAGACCAGATTAACGATGTAAAGGAGCGTTTTGCTCTCCCTCTCTTCCACTCTCGCTCTGCCCACATCTTGAGACTTTTATCTTGTCTACTCGTTTTTGCCCATTACAGTTCCCACCATATCTTTCCCACCCAACAACTACGGTAAAATGGTCTGTAATCTACTTACCCTCACACCCATCGTTAAACTGTGATGTTACACTGAAACATTTCTCAAGAACTGCTCGTCTGCTGCTCTTGCTCTATGATACTTGTCTGCCAAAAGACTGAAGCTTTTTTTTCACAAGTTTACTCACTGGCAGTGTTGGGCAAGTCCACTGTCGCCATGTAACACCTTTGTTTACACAATATGGAATCATGGACCTTTAGCGCTATTGCTGCTATGCCAAACTGATCTGAATTACCATCACTAGAATCAATTTCCTGCTCATGAGTGCTCCTATTTATGCTTTCAAGCTTACCATAAAATTGCAATAATCACATGCACACTCATGCTTTGATTCATCAGCATTATTCTACTCTAAAACTTATCTGATCATGTAGTCCAACATTATTTCCTATCTTGTTTGAATTGAATGAAAAAGGAGGTCTCAAGAACTCTCTCACCGAACTTTAACTCGACGAAGAAGAGTGAACTATGCCACAAAGTACAGGAGCCATGTTTTGGAATTCAAGCCACATACCAGAGCCTCTGCAAAGCTTCAGGAAACAGTCACATTCCTGTAAACACATGTGGAATTACCAGGGCAAGAGCTCCTGGTCTCCAGCCTAGCCAAATATTATCTCATTCAAAACAATATCACACCCCTTCTCCTACATACAAGACAGCTATTGGCTGAGAGGGAGGAAGTGATGTATGTTGACTTTTCATTTGTGTCTTGCTGACTGTTGCTAACAAAAGGACCGAAACCACTTCCAGCTGCTAAACCCAGAGAAAACAACCACACTGTGTTGAACATGATTCAGCTGCGTTTTGTTCCAAATTTCAGTCATACTGCAGCCACAAATGAGAGTCATGTGGTGTTTAAAGCAGTTAAATGACACTGACACTATATCACAGTAATATACCTATAAATGAACAGAGCGTTATACATAATATAACCAAATGAGGCCTACAAATGGCATGGCTGCTCACACTAATGAGATCCATGTACATAATAAAACAAACATTATCCATCTATTCCTGCTGATCTTGCCACATTAGCAGGTGACCTTTGTAACGTGAACATTCCTGTCTAACAATACTGACATTCCTCCACTATTTGTCTGTCTATTGAGAGTGTCTGAGCCATCTCGCACCTTGTCAGTCATAAAAGCGGTGGGAGAGGGGAGAGGAGGACAAGGGGAGTAGGAGGAGGAGGAGGAGTAGGAGGAGGAGGGGATAAGAAGAGTGCCATTACCAGTGTTCTGGACCCGTGTCTTCCCGGGGTGAATAATTACGTCTGACATGTCGTGAATAGGGAGGGACATTATCGCAGTGATCCTCCGTACCCCCTCTGTGTGTACCCTTGTGCACACATACACACGCACACACACATTACAGGCCCCTTTGAATGATTTAGGGGGGTCTGTTAATAATGCAAGGGCTCCTAGAGCTAATTAGGTAAGTAGCAGAGGGCGCCGGCTGTGACGCCTCAGCTCACTGATACGAGCAGTAAAGGAATGAAGCATTGACTGCATACTAGCACACTGAGTTTGGGTTTATGTTTCACCACACACCCACCCCCTTCCCCTCCTTCTTAACTTAATAATAGGCCTGATTATTTTCAAAAGGAGTGGAGAAAATTCACACCAACTATTAAGTTTCATTATTGATCATGGCGCAAAGATGGAGGCCTGAAGCAGCTTCTCCCATTCACATTCATAATCAATTATTAAGAGGATCAGGAAGGGTAATAGGTAACAGGTCTGTATGCTGTGGCCCTTGGATATTTTGACAAGCAGTATAAGAGGAGGTTGAAAGGTAACAGGGATCTGTGTGCTCCAAGAAAATCAATACAAAGTGATTATCTTGAGAGGGAACAAGTAGAGAGCCAAGGTGGGCCATGTCACGTGTATGATCTCTCTCTCTCTCTCTCTCTCTCTCTTCTTCTTCTTCTTCTCTGGCGCCATAGCTGTCAGCTCTGTAAGTGCAGTGTCAGGGTGATTAGAGTGCAGCACGGCCCAGACAGAGCACAGCTAGCATCCAGACAAGCCCTCCAGAGACGCCAGTGCCACAACAAGACTCAGCCCAGGGTCAAAACCACTTTGTCAGCCTCCCTGCCTGCAAAATGGGGCCCCTTCAGTGCACAATCTGAAACCATCTTGTGTAAGCAAGACTGCAGGGTTGATGATATATCGCTGCTTTATGATACCTTTAGGCAAAGAGCAATTATACTTACATTAAAGATTCCCCCCAAATACAAAAACACGTGTTCCCACCTGCCAGTGGTGGTAAATACCTGCAACATGGTTTATCTGCCAAAATTGTGATAGTTGTCATCCCAACTACAGTTTATCACAAATGATAGGGATTAAAAATACTACTTTTATGAAAAAGTCACTATCAAAACTGTCAATGTGTGGGAAGAAATAGATAAAACTTTGCAGCACTGTAGAGCAAGAAAACAGGCTGATGTAGCTGCTGACAATAGATACTCTATTCTTGTCTAATATATTTTTATTTATAATAGAATATTTCTTTATTATATGACCAAAAATCAAGGAAAAATTCAAGTACTTAGATTATAAAAGCAAGAGATTAATTTTGAGGGATGAGAATAGAGGATGGGCAGTGTTATTTTTGATGATTGCTGATGTTATATTTCACTAGGGGACCTTGTTTGCATGATGGAGAGCTCTTTAGGTGAAAACAAACACAAAGGTGTAACTTCAAAGCTTCACAGTCATGAAGAACAAGCCAAATCTCACTCCTACCGACCGGAAATGATCACATCTTCTAGATCGCGAGCGTTTCTGACGATTTCATTTGCATGTTAAGGTTTGCTTGTTACTCTCTGGCCATATTTCTTACCTGCTCTCACGGGGTCCATTAGAATCGCTTAAACCGATGAAAGTGTGTGTATGACTTGTTAGAAACTGCAAAATTTCACAAACACGATGTGTCTGCTTGTGTCTGCTCCACTGTTTATGCTCTGAAAGATTAGCCTGTATGGACGGTGCTAACGGGAAATACCGCGAGACTGTGCAGCTTTTTTTTTTTCTTTTTTTTAATAAGGGGGCGGGGTCGAAACAAGCGCGAGAAAACTGGAATACTTGAAGCTAATATTATTAAAATAAACATATTATGTAAATTAACAAAACAAGTAATAGGAAAAGGATGAGATGGCAACACTAAAACCGGGCAATTTTTTTTAAATTAAAAAAATTAATAAAAAATTTGGACAAATGGGTGATAAGGCTGTGTCCGAAATCCAACATTTATCAGAGAGCGACACGTGACAACCAACTAATGCAAAAAAACTATGAGTTGCTTGCTTTGATAATCAATGAATAGTTCGATTGTTGCAGTAAAATCAAATGTTGTGTTTTAGTGTTCATTAGCAAAGTTAGGAAACGTGTTTTTTATTTTAAAGAGAAAACATTTTGGATTAAGTCTTCATGACTTAACTCCTGACCCTTCTTAAATCTAATCATAAGTATATCAGAGCTTTCTATTGAGTCATTCAGCCCATGCAGGGGTAAGGGAACAAAAAGCCCAGTCAAATAAAAACATACTTCTTTGATTTATGGCCACTCTGTAGTCTACAACTTGCAAATGTAAATTACAGAATCATGACACCCACAACATTTCTGTAAGAGATTTTTTTTAATGTTTGAGTAATAGAGGTTGGTGTGTGTGTGTGTGTGTGTGTGTGTGTGTGTGTGTGTGTGTGTGTGTGTGTGTGTGTGTGTGTGTGTGTGTGTGTGTGTGTGTGTGTGTGCTTGTCTGTTCAGCAGGGGTAGTCATACAAGGCCTTCCGCCATATAATCTACATTTTTTCAAAGATTCTCAAAGATCCTTGCAGCGCACACTTGTTGACAGATTGCTCATTAGTGTGACACAAACTTTCAGCACCGTCTGCAGTTTCTGGAGTTCACCAGTCTTCTCCCCATCTCTGTAAAAAAAAGGGAAAGCTAAAGCCTCACAGTGCTTTACCTGTATGTGATAGCTATGGCCTGAGGGTTGACAGTATCTAATCACAGCTTCAACAGGTGAGGAGGGGAGACACCGCAGACAGCATGGCACCTAGTGGAATTCCTGCACTATCATAATGTGGATCAAACCACACATGCACTGGGTTTATAGTAAATGTATAGAATTTCTCTCTGCTGCAATAACAGTAAATGATGTATATGCAAGTGCACCTGGTATTTAAAGACATTCTACTGTAATACAGAGTAGGAGGCTTTTCTGCTTGTGTGAAAGCAGCACAATCCTCAAAGACAAAAACACAATATTTAACCATTCAGTCAAGTGTACACCAACACTGTAAAATTAATCTTTATTCATTTTCAGAGCAACGATCCTCACAACACTGTTTGAAGTTGTTTGACCTCTTCTTCACCTCTTTGAGCACAGAATCTCATCAGACACAGAAAACATTAGAGGCAGGGGGCAGAGGAAGCCAAACCTCCTCGAAAAGGAGAAAAGCAGAGGAGGAGGAAGAGAAGGAGGAGGAGGAGGAGGAGGTGGAATGGTGTTACTGTCTCTACAAAAGCCTTCTTATCCTCAAAATATCAAAGGTCTCTACTCCCAATAAAAAATATTATCAGAATGATGTTAGTCGCCACAGGAGGAGCTTCTCCAGTACAAAAGAGAGAAAGAAAGAAAGAAAGAAAGAAAGAAAGAAAGAAAGAAAGAAAGAAAGAAAGAAAGAAAGAAGACAGCTCTGTACATAGAAGACATGGCTCCATAAATCTGTGAAAAACCCAAACCCAAATTCATCTCCAGATCACTATTTCGGTCATCATGACCTGTTTGAAGGTACCAAGTGTTGGTTCTCTTCTCCTTTCTTTATTTGCTTTCTAAAGAGGAAGTATTTAGGATGTAGGCCAGATGGGTACACAGGGCTATTGTATGGTTGACAGAGAGATGACCTTGTTGCGCCTGTTTGTGCGTCTATGTGTGTGTTTGTGTGTGTGTTTAATCAGACAGAGAGGGGGGATTAGAGACCAGGCACCTGGCAGGTGGAAACAGTCTGTACTCATCTGATGCCCTCCTGTCCTTCTATGCTCTCTCTCTCTCACACACACAAACATAAAGTATGTTGGTCATAACAATGCTGTCATATTACAGTGCGTGAAACAACCTGTTTCAGGTTGAGGGGCCATGTTGTGGGTTGACCTGTGGTATCCATAAACGAGGGAGTAAAAAAAGGGTTAAGAAGCAAATATCCGGATATTCCCTGTTGTTCTGGCCTGGGAGTTTCCAAATTCTAGGGGAGTCACTGCAGGCCTTTATAATCTGGCTCATAGGCAGCTAAACACAAGTTGGCCCTAAACGACAACCCTCTGTCATGTGAAATTTAGCCAATGTGGAAAAACTGCAGTTCCCCTGTAGTCCACTTGAGGCTGAAAGTAAAAGCAAGGAAACTGTGTTAGAGTTCAAATCAAAATCTCAGTTTTTACAGTAGAATTAAACATGTTTACAGCCTGGTAAAATAAAGGCTTTGGACTTCATTCCTCATTTCTTCACTCTAAAAAAACTGTGCTGGGAAAGTTTTTTAATGACTCATCCAGTTTGATTGTTGAGGTTATGTTAGACAGCATGTTTGTTAAATAAATGGAGCCTCAAAACAGGCTATACGATTAAAGTGAAAGGTCAGGTGATATTTTATTAAATAGAAAACTAAAACATGCATTCCAACTTCACAAAGTTACCTTCTGTTTCCCATTTTTCTGTTATAGCTGCTCTTTGATTCCAAATTATCTGACTTAAACCTTCAAGCCAAACATCCAGCACTTTTTGGTACACTGTTTTCCTCTGCCAATAACCACATTGTTCCGGCCTTCAAAAATCTGTTTAGCTTCATAAATAATCTTTTGAACAAGAATTTCAAAGACAAATGCAACCGAAACCAGAAAAATGTGATCCATTACTGACAAATGTTCAAATAACTCCAAAACACTGAGACACTGCTGACCCGCTCCAGGCTATGGTCCATGGTAAGTCTGAGGGCAGTAAGTAAAGCTTTTTTAGCCAAGGGGGCTTGTTCACAGTCACGCTACATCCATCAAAACAAATATGACACTTTGTTTTGGTCACGAACTAGTGCAAAACAAATTTCGATTTCACTTTTAGCTTTCTACTATCACTTCGAGAGGCTTTACAGTCTTTGTGGAAAGGTTTGGAAAGAAAAGTCCTGACTGAACAGTTCTGCAAAGTGAAAGGAAGCTACAAATAACATCAAGTTTAAAAATCATACAGCTCGATCATGACTCCCGTCTGTTTTTCCAAAAAAGAACCAGGCAACCCATCTGTTACAGCCTGCTCAAAGATAGTACCTCGAGTGGAGTCGTCAGTGTTAACTTAAATCAACATAGTAGTTACCCTAATTAAGATCTGGCAGATTCCTTTAGATTAGCAGTGACAGGAGCTCAATATAAGAGAGGAGATATCAAAGGAGGGAGAGAAGGATTGTATAAGGTCAAGAAGAGGAGCAGAAAGGTAGAGAGGGATAAAATAAAAACTAGCATTTTAAACGTGAAGAAAAATAGGATGTTAATTAGGCGACTAAAGAGAGAATAAGTTATAACAGAGAAATAAAGAGTGGTGTCTAAAATGCCTGTGAAAGCCTGTGATCAAGGAGAGCTTTTTTTCTGCCCACATCAGGAGTAAATGGCTCTGCAGGCGCTTGTCACTCCAAGGGCCAGCATGGGACGATCAGCGATGATGACGGGGGCACGGACCTGTGTCAAGACGCTGCACCCAGCCGTCACTCAAACAGCTCTGCCCTATGGGATGACACGGACAGGCCTCAATTCTGCAGAGAAAAAAAAAAGGAGAGAGAAAGGACAAGGGTGGGAGAGAGAAATTAAACGGTGAGAACTGAGAGGAGCAGAAGAAAGAAGAAAAAGCATGTGAGTAGGTTGTGTGCAATCTGGTTATTTATGTAAGAAATGCAGAAATGTATTTTAAATTAATCTAAGGACAAGTGGACCAACAGGTGATTATGTAACCTCAAAAGTTTGCACCATCGGCAGTGAAAAATACAGCTTCACTTTTCAAACTGGGCGTCACCATGCAGCTTTCTATTGGGAATTGAAATATTTGATGTCCCTGTCCTTAGTAGGCAATAAGACATTATGTGAACTTCTTATCTGACAGCCAAAGAGGCTTGTATGAGTCAACCGCTAGCTATCTAAGACCATAACCCCTCAGGCCTCTGGGGAACACGGAGGAATGACCAGAGAATCAGCTCACTGGAGCACAATAAAAAAAAAAAAGGACTCAGTCCCACAGTCAGGATTCACTGAAGCTCCAGCAGGCTGTTTTCAATTAGCGCTCGCTGATTCTCAGTGTTGGTCTACCGCGTCATTTCAAGTAAATGCAACCATAACTGAAAGCCACAATGTTTGGTTTGGACATGAGGAAATCTGTGCTGCTCTCCTTCCTCTTGTCAGTGGAGGCCACTGCAGAATCCTCAGGGGTGAGTTTGCATTGTATTTATCCTGCAAGCCGAGTCTCTTTTCCACAATCTTGCAGTAAAGTTATGTCATACAAAACTAACCTTCTCAACTTCAGCTGCCACCAAAATTAAAATGTTAGTAGACTGAGAACAAAACATGTAGTTTAAGTCTGGATAAAAATCATTAACTTAAAAAAAGTCCTGTGCAATGTCTCACTAGACTTTTTAGGGTGCAAAAGCTATGGTTCCTAATCTTGTCTAATATCTGGGAGGAAAAATACCTACAAAAAAAAAAAAAAAAAAAACGATATTCAGAGAAATATGAAATGACACATGTGGAAAACTGACAGTTCAAATGGAAACAGGGGAAAAAAGAAAACACTGAAAGATTATTGATGGTTTTAAAAGTCCAGATTGAGCAAGCAGTTCCACACAAAACGCAAAAACTAAGAGAAATTGAGTGTTACGGTCAGGCATACACTGTACAATTGTATTAATGTTGTGGTGGAAAATGAATTTAGACCGCATGAGTTTGCAATGCACAACTGAGGCTCACAAATTATGTGCTCATGTTATGTTGAACGTTGCCATGGTGCTTTCAGATATACAGACACTTAGATGGAACGAAAAAACCCTGAACTTGGAGAATTGGCTCATGACCCTGCTTTCACTGTAAACTGCACTACAAATGTTGCGTGATCAGCTGAATCGACGCCTGACTTCAAAATCAGTCGTGCCACCTAAAAACTCAAGTCCGAAGCCGCCTCAGTTTGCACATCATACCGCAAGTCCTGCGTGTATTACTCATCAGAGAGGAAAATTAGGGAGATGTTGACCATTTGTTTTTAAGATTTCTCTGTTTGTCATGAAGCTGAAGCTGAATAACAACAGTGGGAGAAAGAAGGGTCAAAAAAGTAAGTGGGGTACAAAGATAAACACTGCAGCCTATGAGGGACAGGTGAGACTAATCGGACATATGTGAAAACAGTGAAGGAAAGGTGGATAAGCTAAACATGAGTGAAAAGAGACAGAAGTGACAAAGTTAAACAGGAAATGAAAAGTTAATAACAACCAGGTATAAGCGTAACACACTTCTAAGCCTTGGCTAGACATAAAGATGGAGTCAGTGATGTCAAAGATCATGATAAAAATGCCACTTTTACACACAGTATGTATGTGAAAGTATTTCTTAACAGGATTTCAACCATTTCCCTCTCAAACACAGTGCTGCATCAATGAGTGTTTATACTCACACGTCCCCTGACTTTACCAGTCTGGGTCACAATCCAAGTGTACAGATTGACCAAAAACCTTTGATCTCCAGATCAGAGTCAAAAATTCGTTCTTTTTGCCAGAAATATTTGTATTAAAACGGAGTGTGTTCAAGGTTTCAACAGAGGGACAGGTAGAGGGAGACACAGCAGCCTCAGAGAGAGATGGCTTTCAAGGGACAACATGAAGCAAGAGTGAAAAAGGCGACAATCTTTCAGGGGTCCAGATGTACACTGTCCCCGAGGTGGCAGAGCTCTGACCTGACACTCCAACGTCCCAGCATGCTCGGCAGATGTGGGTCAACCGACATCTGTTTCTCACAACAGGCCGGGCTCAGCTCAGCTCGGCCCAACGCAACCCCGCTGCCATATTCATCCTAATAACCACTCCCATAATCACCAGGGATTATTCTAATATTAGTGAGCACACACACACACACTTATAAACACTCACACACAAACAGGGACTGCTCTGATTAAGGTATAGTGCTCCATATGGTTTTTCGGAGGGTTTTGAGCGAGGATTTGTATGTTTTTAGCCTTTCAGTGAAAAGCCTTGAAAAAGCCAGCTTAGAGAGGACTAAAAAGAGTCCGTGCATAAATAATATTGGAAAATAGCCTACGCAAAGAGGGGAGGGGCAGAGGGGGTCACGCTGGGGCGAGAGGTTGGCTGTGAAGCAGAGGTGCTCCAACAATGACAGCGCTTGGTGAGGCTGCTACGCCCGCTTTCTGGCCTTGAAGTTAGGCGTTGGAGAGAGACAGCGGCGCGCTATTCTTCTTTAAATAAAGGAGGGATTATAAACCACTGACAGGATGTGTGAATCAAGATGGCACACTCAGCACACAACAGGACTAGAAAGAGACACTGCAGGGGGCTGTCAAGACGGACCCAGAGTGAGTGAGGAGGATTACCATATAATGATGAAAGATGATGAAGACTGATGAATAGATGGTTGGCGCTTTAGCGATGGGGGAGGATGGATGCAGGCTTCTGTGGAGGAACTTGACATTTGAAGCGTGGATGCCAGAGCTCAGGATGAATAAACATGCGCTCCTTTAAGCTGTTAGCTTGTCTTTGCATTTTCTTTCATATAAGCGAGTTCAAAATCACGATTGTAGGATTTTCAACTTGTAATGTTCCCAGTGTTCTTGTGCTACATTTCTGTCTTTTTGTGTGAAATCATCCCGCTCCCCCCTTTTCTCCTGCTCCCATTTTTCCTCTGAGGTCTATTTGTGGAAGTCATGGCCTGCTGGTGTTTACGATCCTCACTGGGCCCCTACTGCTGGTGTTTTTTCCCCTCAAACACACACACATGCACACACAAACATGCACACAGTGGCTCCTTACTGCTGACACTCAACTTCATTCTTTGCTGCAGCTGCATCTGTTGTCACCATGGAGACCTTGTTTATTACTTAACCCCCCCTTGCTCACAAACACAGACTCACACACACACACATACACACACGCTAAGACAGAAAAATAGGCAGGCTGCGTCTCCCTCTGTGTTTGATTTGGTGTTATAGGACCCATCGGATCACAGCCCCTGAGCAAGCCCAGGCCCATATGCACAGACACACACACAGCAGTTGGCCTGGATGGATACAGCAGGCCCATGCTAAACACAGCGCCATAAGCGGCACACTACATAATCACCCCCAGGCTGGTCTGGATAATGACATTTGTCAAGGCTTTGACTCAACCTGTGTGAGTTAGGAGGCCAGTCTGGTTACTTTTTCCTCTCACACACCATCGATCGAAGGAAAAGCCGTGCAAATGATGCAAAGAAAAGCAGGAGCATCTTGCTAATGAGGCTAAACAATACAGTTTCGCAAAGTGTTCACGCACGAGAGTCTGCGCGCAAGTGTAGAGGGCGTTAGTGAAAGGCCATTCTGCTTAGCGGGCGGCATCATGCGGGCAGGTTTTTCACGAGACGGGGAATCTGTTATGCAACATGTGAGAGCCTGCTAATCTTTGCCGAACAGCCTGCTCCTCCTGGCCACCTTCTCGTCCCGTGCACACACACACACACAAATACAAATACGCACAAGCTCACACACCTCCCTGGCCAGCTTTCAAGCCACGCATGGCTACACACCCAGGTGGCCTTAATGGGTTTAAGAGCAGTCAGAGATCCTCCTGTGCTTCGGTCCAGACCTGAGCCCTCCTGTCTCCTGTCGCTGCATGTGACTGTGCAGGACGACTTGTGAGAGGTCAAGGAGCCGAGGAGTCATCAAAACACCTAGTAGCTTTAGCTTGTTTTTAGCTTATATCAGCAAAATGAACATAATTAAGCATTTGTTTTGGTTGAGTGGTGCCTATGGTGGCCTACAGGGACAAAGCAACAAAACCCTAAAATTCTATTGTGCAAAAAAAAAAAATTGGCAGTGTGACCCATATTGACTGATTTGACATTTAACACTTGGCAGACATTAGTTTTGGCCCCTTTTTCTGCAGCTCATGGTCTAAAGCAAAGGTCATTAGGTGACCTATCGGGGTCAGGTGGCTTCTCCCTCTAAGCTAACTCTCTGCAGCATTACTCAGCTTGTTGGCATATGCTGACAGGCTTCCAGCTGAGTGGCTCAGGCTGTCACAGACGCACACACACACGTACACACACCTCCACACACAGCCAGAGGTCCTGTCCCAGATGAACTCCAGGGGATAGACTTCCTGCAGTCTGCTCGCGTCTGTAATTCCCTGATCTCACATGTGCCACTGCGAAAGGCTTCTCTCTGATGGGTACTGAAGCAGAGCAAAGCCTGAGTTTATTTTTACTATTCAGTAAGTTTGACTGAGGAACAAATCCAAGTTCGGCTTATTAATCAGAAGCTTATCGTTGTCTTGCATTACCGAACCTCTTTCCAATTAGTTTTCCCTTTGTAAATATAAATGGAACTAAACTCAGTCCCTCTGAAGTCGTAGAAGTGCAAGGATGTTAACCAGTCATCTAAACTTGCTGAGCACAATCATTACAACCATGAGAGAGTCTTTAAAAATGGCTTCTTATCAGCGGCAGTTCGGGCTCGTATATTTTGTGCCCACAGCATTTCTTGCCATTTGGCCCCTGTTTCATTTTTTGTGACAGCTTTGATGTGGTGCGAAGCTTCAGGGCCCTCTCTCTCCGCATCCACAACTGCACAATAAATACTCTGATAACAGCACAATCTGTAACTCGGGCAAAAACAAATAACACAGCGGCCCTTACAAGAGTTCTTTTGTCAGGGTTTGGTTCTGGATTCGTGAACCGAACAAAACAATTGGTTCCAGATTGAGGCGGGCTTCTGTTCTCCCCAGAGGGATGGTTTAAATATATCAGGGGAGAGAGAGAGAGAGAGAGTGTGTAAGAGAGAGAGAGAGAGAGGGGAAGCAGGAACAACAGTGGAAATGGTGAGAAAGCAACTGAGAAGAGGAATCAGTGAAATGGAAAAGAATTCGACCATAACCAGTGTGGGAACATTTAAAAGGATGGGTGCAGGGATAAACGTTAAGTCTATACAACAGAGTCAAAAATGGAAAAATTCCATATAATGAGCACAAGTAGAGTTTTCACTTTTGAAGAGTCTTGGTGCACATTCAGCATTATAATAACAAGCTAAAGGAGGACTTTTCAACTCTTTGCAGGGTGTGTTTCTGCAAAATAGACGGTTGAAAAACTGCTCCAAATTAAGTCATGGACGTTCTAACCTAATTTCATCCCGTTTTCTACTGAATTATCACAGTTAGCGCCTTGAAGGGATACCCTTGAACTAATTTGTAAAACAGGTTTGTTGTACTTGTTTTGATAAAAAGAGTGAACTTACTGTCACGTGAGCACCAAGCTAAGGACACCAAACATTATACAGGTTAGCAGAACAATATGGACTGGTTAGTACTTGAAGGAGTGACAAGCAGTCAATGCTTCTCTCATAGTGCCAGCTCCAGGCATGATATTGAAACTCCTGTACTTTCTTTATTTCTTAAGGGTCTAATTAATAAGCATTGTGTATTGAAGACAGAGTCAGAAAGTTGTTTGACTTGATCGGGAAATATGCACAAAGGTAGGCAAACTCGGGTCCATGATTGTGCACAGTTCGGAGGCAGAGGGATTGGCGGCGCAGGTGGCGAGAGGGTGAACTGAAGTCTTCTACACATATCGTGCAATGAAATGTTAACGGTGGCGATTTTCGCCATACGCCAATTCCTACCAGATCCATTTGTGAGGCAAATTTCGTGGTGGATTATAGACAGCAGGAATCGTGCAATTGCGCAATAACAAGCTGTCTTTAGCCACATAACCATATAAGCAGTAGATTGTGTCCTTCCAGAGGAGGAAATCCACTTCTCGACTTATAAAATCAGCACCCTCTCATCCATGGTGTCATTGGGATGAAATACTGTCTATAGACCTTTCACTTGTTTTTCCTCGCCCGTTTGCATGGTGTAAAATACAATCCATCTGAAACAGAGAGTGTTTTATTTTGAAAAGAAGCCGGATGTTTTATTTCGTGTCTGTGCCCGACTTCCTTTTCAGCACAGGTTACTCTGTGCTGAATTTATCCGGCATGCTCCGGCATCTGGAAAAAATAGAACTCGTGCAATCAGCTGTGGAGTCCGGTGATCCGCAGCAAAACGGAAAGAAGCCGGTGGAAATGGACACATTAACTTGAATGGTTATGATCAGCTATGATCGGTGGATACGGCCTTTTCATAGCCGTTCTGGATGCGGTGGAAATTGGGGGTCACAGACTCACATCATCATGGTTACAGACAGCAGTTAATAGACTGAAGGACCCAAATGTTAATGAGTAGAACTGTATGATTGTTTCTTTCTGTTTGTTTCTTGTCTCGACATAGCAGGAGAAAAAATTGACTTTTTTCAGATGTTAGTTATCGTACTAGACCTCTCAATGCTCTTTTTCCTAAAATACTAGCTCCCTCCTTTTCTCTTCCCTCTAGAGTGTGAGCTTCATTCTGGAGAGGACGTACCAAAAAGGACCTGGCAAGGGTTTGGCTAAAGTCCAGCAGCCTTCACACACACACAAACAAGCTCACACACTCGCACAAACAGGGCACACTTAGCCCCAATCTTGGGTGATTACATAGCCTTTCAAACTCATTTACACACACAGGCAGTCAAGCTGAAAACTAATTTGTCCCAACATACACAAAAACAAGGGATACACTCAAAACACACACATACACACATTGTGAACAGAGTAAGTGGAACAATGTGGGAACAGAGACACATTCACACAAATCATCTATGGCCGTGTCCAATCACACTTAAAAGGATGACAAGTGATGCTAATTTGAAATGACAGCTATGAATTGAAGTATCACACAGTAAGGATGTGATGACAGACAACAATCGACCAATCAACATCTGGTCTTGAAAGTCAAACTCAGATTCTATTGGATGAGAAACAGGAAGCTTCACCCTCCTTCCTTCCCTTGCCTAATACTTTCCTACCTACTACAATGTGCCCTCAGCCATTAGCAGAGGCAGTACCTGTTTGGTTGGCTAATTACTCATTATCAGAGCTTCAAAACAGGGCATGTGTATGGGTTTCAATGTGTGTGTGTGTGTGTGTGTGTGTGTGTGTGTGTGTGTGTGTGTGTGTGTGTGTGTGTGTGTGTGTGTGTGTGTGTGTGTGTGTGTGTGTGTGTGTGCTAGCAGATGCAAAGAGGAGGTAGGCACACATTTTGCAGGAAGGAGGCTGCTGTCGAATGCATGCAGGCCGCTTGGGGAATGAAGACAAACTGCTGCTGTGACGTATACTGGACAGTGTGTGTGTGTGTGTGTGTGTGTGTGTGTGTGTGTGTGTGTGTGTGTGTGTGTGTGTGTGTGTTTGTGTGGAAGACAGACAGACAGATCTCCAGTTGTTGTGTCCCAGAGATGAATCCCTTGGACATCTGACACCTCTTCCTGTTTGGACATCAAGCCCCCGAGGACACACACAGCTGGGGACAGGACAAAGCTGCATCCACACACACACACACAAACCCACACACACTCAGAAAGTTGCCTATAAGGTCCAATACATCAGCCTCGTGGGTGACACATTCTCCTTTTCATGTGTGACTAGCAGCCCGTGGTCACATGGAGGATCAAACGACAGCTGTGAGGAGCACACAGAGGAGCATCTGTATGTATGCATGTATTTGTCTGAGTGTGTGAGAATAAGTGTGTGAGCATGTTTCCTGTCAGTTTAGCTGGAGCAAAACAAGTTTCTTCTGACATCACCTTGTCGTGTCTGTGAGACTGAAGTTTCCAGATAATGAGTGTGACAGTGGAAAAAATGCAACAAATCAGTGTAAAAGCACAGCTGCAGCTCTGAGAATAGTGAGTCACAAAGTTTGGAGACGGACAAGGAGACAGCAAGGTCTCGCACCTGCTTTTTTTGTAAAGCAGATGGATCAAAAATTTCGGATTTTTTTTTTTGTTTTTCTTTCTTAGTTTGTTCAAGTTTAATGTTATTAATGTGCTAATTTAAGCGGTACCTTCAGAGAAACTTCATTTGTGTCTGTTGGAAATTCCCAATTTTACCACTGTGCCAATAGCTTAGTGTAGCAAATGATATAATGAATTACATTACAAAACTTTGTGCAAGCATGTCATCTCCTGCTTATTTATGGCAAAAATAAGACAACGGCTATCCATATTTTTTTTATGTGGCCATTTCTCATGGATCAGATTTTTAAAGGCTTCAACAAAGTGTACAACAGCTCAAATTGAGTTCTGCAGACTGTCCAAGTGGTTCTCTGGGATTGCCCACACCTTAATACTTAAAAAAAAAAAAAAAACAAGAGATCTCCGTACACCTCCTTCATGGACAGTTCACCTTTCTGACATCTAATGCAGAAGTATGTATGTGTGCCACCCCCTAGCGACTGGGGCTGTAGCTCTAGCTAATGCTATGCTAGGGTGACCATATTCTGACTTTCCAAAAAGAGGACACGACTACGCGGGGGCGAAGTCACATAGTCGCAAGAAGTTAATTTTGAGAGTTTTTCGGGTCAGATTGAGTATCTTTTATGCACGTCTAACTCAATAAGTCCATATGACACAAAATTGAAACTTTCGTACAAAACTGCAGACATTTGAAGGATTTTATAAACTTCCCCGGACAAAGATGGAGAGCCCGGACAGCCCCTAAAAAAGAGAATATGTCCGGGTAAAAGAGGACGTATTGTCACCCTAGCTATGCTCTACTACCCGAATGTAACCAAGCATATTGGATATTTTTTCATGTAGACTGTGTTTGGTTTTACAAAAATTTAACCACTCGACCAGACCAATGGATGACTAGCACATGTGTGTATATGTTAGCTATAGCCACACATGTAAAAAAAAAAAAACAGTCTGACATGCTTATCTTAACGTTATCTTTGAATAGCATGATCTGACAGAAATCCTCGTCCATGAGACTCTCCGCCTGTCAAGCATAGAGAATATTTGACCCCTCAGATAGCCGCCTATGGTTGACAAAAGCATTTCCCTCAGTACTCTTGTGTCAGCAAGCTATGGTGTGGTTCTAGCCTCAGGCGCTGTAGCGTTTAGCATAGCATAGCGTTTTATGTCCTGCACACAAGGTCTGATAAGATAAAGGACATGTGGTGCTTCAGCATTAGCCAGCCCCACTCTATGCTTTGATGAGCAAACCAGAGGAGGTCGAGAGACAAATATTAGCCAGCCATGCTAGTTAAGCTAGCCTTAATATGGGACTCGAAATGTGTGAGAGAAGCACAATGATTCTTCTTCCTCATCTCTGGGCAACAGGATTAGCATGTTTACCCGCTAATGTCTTTAGCTATACTGAAGCTTCAAACACACACACACAAATATAGACACAATCCTGATACAGCTAATGTGGATACTGTACATGCAAACACAGATGAATGAACAGACATGTGTTGCAAACGCATCATTTCCCCTCATATATACACACACACACACACACTCATATGGATCCAGTACATTCAGCTGGGCAGGCCTTTCTTTGTGTGTTTGTGGGTGCTGAGGTCTGCACCCATCTGCTCCTGTGTGTGTGTAATCTGCTGCAGACAGGCTACAGCGCTTAAAGGGGCCAGACTGCAAACACTGCACTGGGATGAGACACCTGCCACAGGGCTAAGACCAGAGCCCTGACGCACAAACATACACAGATGGAGAGGCCACAGTTACCATGGACGGTGCAGCCACTCCATTACAACTCAAGCACTGTGACATTCAGGTGTTTTGCAGAGTTTAAAAACATATTTCCATCCTGTTTGTGGGTTTTCTACTCTTACACTGTAACCATCCGTCCTAATTGGTTGGTATTAATCTCGCATTTGACAGTTCCATCATTACAGTGTTCATAGAGCTCCCAGAGAGGAGGGAAAAATCTCTACTTATCCTCGTCTTGAAGTCTAGCTTTGAGCATCTGCTGTCAGAGTGTCACGTCTGAATTTAGCAAATGCCCAGGCACGAGGTGGCTGCGTTCTAAATGCCCAATGCTCAAAGGAGTGTCTGTCGTGCCGCGGCTCGGCGTGCCAAATCAGAGCTGGCTAGGAGCTCCCTATAGGCGAACAGATGGCCATTACTATCATTTATAACTTATTAGGGCCTATAATCCTACCTGCGTCAAACACGCCCCAACGCTTAGGGCTGGCTCTCTTTTTTTTTCCCTCCTCATTTAAAAACATTTCCATTTGCCAGAAAAGTCCTCCTCACGATTTCTCTGTCTCGCTATCTCTCTCTGTATTTTTAATCTGCAAACTGCGTGGTTGACACATATGTGCAGGGATAATATGATATAGGGTTATCTGTCTTTTTAATCAACTGTTAACAGATTGCCCCATGCTGCTGCAGAGCTGGAAACTGATAATACTTTATGTAAATGAAGGTGCAACATGCGGTGTACAGTAATTTCCACCAACTGTAAAGGAGAGTCATACATGATATTATCTATTTTCATAATATTGCGCTGTTTTATCCTGCATACAGCAGGCACAGCAACTATAAACAACTCATGACTGGAAATCTCATGTTACTTCCTGTGTAAGTCGATGTAGACACACCCAGGACTAGGCCGATGGTGTGATAATTCACATTCGGCTGGATGTCTGCATGCTAACAAAGTCCTTCCTCCTACTTTGTCAGTCTCTCAGTCTGGCTCCGCAGAGGCAATCGTCAGTGATGCCTCACATTCACCACCCAAGCAGGTGTGGGCATTGACGTTTCTGCTGTGAACAGGCTGCATCTGTCATGTGGCAAAGCAGAAATAGCTCCAATCAATGTCCCCCTCGGACACACAAACACACACTTACACATACTACACGCTCTCTCTCACTCACACACATACACACCCCTAGCACCGCTGTTCCCCTGCAAACAAGGATCTGTGGAACAATCATCAAAAACCATCCCAGCCAGCAGTTTTGGCGGTCAATTTTGCTCAGCTCAGATGGAGAGTGAGCATGGCTGTTGCTTTCTCCTTGGAGTCCACTTGATTCTCAAAATCATCACCATGTAAAGTAGATAAAGCCAGAGAGGGTCCTGAAGCTTTGACAAGCCATGAGGCAGATGGATGTCCACCAATGCATCCTGGACTGCTCAAGATTTCTTTCAAATGAAAAAAAATAAAGTTTTCCTTGCTATTGTCACCAAGAAGTTGATCATTCATGGTAGGAATAACA